AGAAAGGGATCTAGGGGTTATAGTGGACCACAAGCTGAATATGAGTCAGCAGTGTGACGCTGTTGCAAAAAAAAAAAAAAGCAAACATGATTCTGGGAGGCATTAACAGGTGTATTGTGAGTAAGCCACGAGAAGTCATTCTTATGCGCTGGTTAGGCCTCAGTTGGAGTATTGTGTCTAGTTCTGGGCACCACATTTCAAAAAAGATGGAGAAATTGGAGAGGGTCCAGAGAAGAGCAACAAGAATGATTAAAGGTCTTGAGAACATGACCTATGAAGGAAGGCTGAAAGAATTGGGTTTGTTTGGTTTAGAAAAAGAGAAGACTGAGGGGGGACATGATAGCAGTTTTCAGATATCTAAAAGGGTGTCATAAGGAGGAGGGAGAAAACTTGTTCATCTTGGCCTCTGAGGATAGAACAAGAAGCAATGGGCTTAAACTGCAGCAAGAGAGGTTTAGGTTGGACATTAGGAAAAAGTTCCTAACTGTCAGGGTAGTCAAACACTGGAATAAATTGCCCAGGGAGGTTGTAGAATCCCTATCTCTGGAGATATTTACGAGTAGTTTAGATAAATGTCTCAGAGATGGTCTAGACAGTATTTGGTCCTGCCATGAGGGCAGAGGACTGGACTCGATGACCTCGAGGTCCCTTCCAGTTCTAGTATTCTATGATTGTACTAGAATCTGTACAATGTATATTGTGAAATAGCAAAAAATGTACCTAGAGTATACACTGTTCAGTGATGTGACATGAATAGCATGGTGGTACTAAAACCGACTCTCGTGGGACTAGAGAAGGGATTACGTGCTTCATGTGTCATTTTGTCTATCTATACCTGACACAGAGCTTTCAGAAACGGTCTACAAAGAAAACCTGCATGAAGTTATTCTGAACCACCACATTTTCCTCTGTATACTCCACTTTTTGTGAGAATACATCTGTTCTAGTGACACTTAGCGCTAAAAACACCAAATGCCTACTCTCTTGGGTAGATACTAAGGCCTTTGCCTTAGTGGAAATGAGTACAGATTAGACTAGCAATACAGTGACCTTGGCCATTGAGTCATCATCAGGAAAAGCTTCTAATCAGTGGGAGCCATCAGAACACTTGAATCTTCATACAGTAGCAGAAGGATGAACTAGATGAATTATTATGCAACAGATGTCAAAGATGTATAGTACATGCTCTACGGTTGCCAACAGCACACAGGACAGCAGAACTTGTCTGATAGTTGAGCATTGTGATCTTCTTTGAAGAGTGCTGCGATATCCTATACTTCTACCCAGACATCATCATAACTTAATACTTCCATTCATTACCTCTACAACTCCAGGATCTCTTCTCATTTACTTTTATTCAAGTACTGGGTAGTGGCCCAACAGCTCATATGGGGGATTTGATTTACAACCTTCTGATTCAGACATTAAACAACCATTTTGACACCTACTGAAGAAAGCTTCAGTATGAAGCAAGTTTCCATTTACCCAATCAGGTAAGAAGAATCCTAGAGTCACTGCTGAATCAGGACATGCTGAGAGATGCAATGTTGCAATGCCAAGAGCAGTATCTTTGGTTCCATAGAGAACACACCATTTTGCACTTAACCCCCTTTCCAAAAGTTAATTTTGGATGTTAAATATCAAACTGAAAACAGACATAAAAATAAAACCCAAAGTGGCCCTCTTTAGAGATTCTTACCGTTGATGAGGTACAAGAATGTTGTTGATTCCTCCTAATTTAACATTAATCTTTAGGCACAGGTTTGAGAGAGTCTGAGGAGATGTTTTTATGACATTCTTGACTTGAACGCACTGTGTGGCCATCCCCAACAGCGTATCTCCCACACGTTTCACCTCCGCTGAGAAGTAAGCATTAATGTAATTTTTAAACAATGTATTAAGATTTTTAAACTTGTTTGCAATTCAGGCAGGAAATGGAACACGGCTACTATTAGTCAGAGTTACATTCCGCCCTATCAACTTCTAATACAAAAGTATGCCTTGACCAGCTTCCCATTTATTATAGCTTATAAAAAAACACCTGGTTTCAGATGACTAGAATTCAACATCTTACAAACTGAGGGGCAAGTACATTAGCTAGAATACTTGAGCAAAAACCTATACTTTCCCATATGTTACTCCCTTACCGTACACAGGTGTTTTTCCTGGCAGGATGACGATGATGAGTTGGAGCCCTGAATAGGTGTTTTTCAGGTGTCGGAACATCGGCTCCACGCTATCCGCACCCTGTGCATATTTGCAAAAACATGGCTGGCCTTGGATTGGCATCCCTGCATCCTTTGAAATCTTGCGTAGCTGATCTGTAAATCCCCTAATGAAAGAGACCAGAGTTTACAAAACAGCATCCATATCTAGCAGCCAAAGTGAAAGGGGAGAGGAAACAATGCATGCTGTTCAAAGGAAACCCTTTTAGAGCAATTAAACATACAGTGCTGACAGGCTCTTATAAAAGGACTGCGTTCTGATTATAAGGGCTGTGACAGCCTTAAAATACTATTATGAAAAGTTAGAAAGGACAGACTTTAAAGGGTGTTAAGAATCCATAAGGTGTGGTTTAAACAAACAATGGAAGTAGTGTGCCCCACTGTAGCCAGATCACAGAAGGAGAAACCATTAACACCACAGTACACAGGTACAGTTTCAGCAGCAAGGATGGGTAGATTTCCCAAGCTCTGACACAGAAGAGAAAAAGTAGTTTTTCATTCCAACTCAAACACCTACCCCAGCCTTAACTCTAGGCTAGAATGGGCATTGAATATGTAGCAACGGCCTTATCAGAATTTTGAGAATGATGGGTTCACTAAAGGAACAGCACAATGCCTCAACTATGACATGCCTTACTTCAGTATTTCTTCTCTGCATTGTCTCTGTGTTGCAAAGCAAGCTATGGCCCACATTTTGATCTCAACACCAGTGTGAAACTGTTTCCCTCGCATATCCCAGACACCATGGCTTGGGGTTGCCACTGTTCGATTCTATGGAGATAAAAGAAATACGCTGTTATTAAAATGATTGAAACACTGAGAAAACACACCCCACTATTTTCTATTTTAAGTAAACACCCCTTGAAACACAAGGCATGTGGCTCAAGTTCTCAGGTGCTGCAACACAAGGGAACTGAGCTGTCCCAAAGTGTTCAGTTCTAGATGGTGAATCACATAAAATGTATCGTACAGCAAGATACAGACACAAACCCCCAAGAGTCTCACCCGTCCTCCATACTGCAACATTGGAGCTGGAAGTACACGTCCTGTCACATGAGCCATCTCATCCCGTACTTTAAACTGAAACTCTTGAACAAATGGATCTGCATCATAATTTGCACTTCTTACCTGGGGAAAAGAAGTTTCCATGTTACAAAAACTGTTGAATTTTTAATCTGCATCTATAAATAAGTTGCACAAGTATTCTGATAAGTGTCCTCCTTTTCACTAACAGCAAAAACTAAGGATCACATGCCAAAACTCTCATTCAAACCACTTGCCCCAGGACATGAAATTTTACTCATTCCTTTAAGCTACCCCAATACCAATTTACTTAATTTTTGCTGCACTTTTTGGATAAAAAGTGTATTGTACTGAAAAGCATCTAGTATGCATGACAATGCTGCTTCAAAACAAATTTTAAGTAAATCTAATTATCTTCCTAAAGTAGAAAAGTACCAGTTCATCGTATATTGTCATCTCCATTCTGTACATTGCTTGCAAGTACAATGTGAAATTTTACTGTTATTTGAAAAATGCAATATTACTATTAGATCACTAAGTCTGTGTGAATATGGCCACTTGGTGTTTCAGCATAATATGCATAGTCATGGTATTCATCAAAACATTTTTTCCTACCCTCAGCGTGAAGGACAAACTAGGTTATGAAAACCCAACTGCCTTCAGTTCTGTTTGATTATTAGCACTCAAGAGAATATCGTGTATTAAAGCACCTTTTCCAAATAGATGTTATCCTTTAATTTTTTTGTGCAGTTATTCAGATGAAACCAGATACTTCCAACATTTTATACCCGAACAGTTATAAGCCAGGAAAATGTTAATGTGTGTTTAGAAAGGCTGGTTCAGGCAGGCAGAAAGGGGGGGGGGGCGCGCGGGGGAACCCACAGGACTGTCAAGTGGTGCTAATTAGCAGAGGCGACTAAGAAGAGGGGGCCCCACCATCCATACCATCCCCCTTCCTAGCCTGGAGAAGGGCTGGGATAACTATCCTCTGCCCCTGACCCCGCCTCTTCTCCCAACCTGCTGCCCCCTAAATGATGCGGTCTGGCGGACTAGCAGGACTGGGGGGGGAAGGGCGCAACGCTGGAAGTGGAGGGGCCACCATGCCCTCCTCCACTCACCAGCAGTGATGGGGGAAGCGTAAGAACATGGCTCCAGGCTGCTTTGCTCCCTGCTGACTGCATTGCTCCACTTCCTGCGGGTGTGTGCAGAGCAGTCCCACCACTCCTCCAAGCAACACAGCCAGAGGCGCACAGCAAGCTGGGGCTGTTGCGCTGCTTTCCCCACTCCCAACCCCCACAGCTGAAGAGGGGGGGGGGGGAGGGAGGGAGGGAGTGGCCAGGCCCTTGCCTCTTCCACCCATGGCATTTGGGTGCACAGGATCCCTTGTGTGCCCCCGTGATTGACACACACACACACACACACACACACGCTATTTAGCATTCATTTGAGGATGAATGCTGCTCATTAGCTAGGATGCTTGCCTGGATATGAGAAAGTTTCAGCTTCCTGTGGAACTTTAACCAAGTTATTTAGTCTATGTACACTAGCTCCCTCCATCTGCAAAATAGGGATAATAGTACGTCTCTACTTCATAACAATGTTGAAAGTTAAAGATTGAGAGGTGCTTGAATATATGGGAATAGCAGGAGGTAGATAAGGGAAACCTCAGCGGCTAAATGTTAAGAGTATGTTTCAGTGCTTTGCTAAATCTGGTATAAAGTAGCCAGGACAAAGTCCATGACTAAAACACAGGCATTCCAACGTTTCAGTCCTGGGCTCAGACCTCATCTCTAATCCTTTAATTAGAGATCTCTTTAATTAAATTGTTAATAAAATCAAGCAGGGAGGTACCAAAACAGGTTTTAGTACCCATGTGGGATGTAACAATTATGCAACAGGGGTTTGGCCTGAACACTTGACCTAAATATTCTATTCAATGGGAGGGATTATAGGAGTCATCAGAGCAGAAGCTTTAGGACATTTGTCTGAATACAGTAAGAGGCTTTAGCAAAGAATAGAGACAGGGTCTTTGTACAGAGAAATGTCATTGTCTTCACAAATGTAACACAGTTTAGTGAAAATGAAGATGCTAGTCCTCTGATACAAAAACTACAAACTAACCAATCTGCTAATTTCCTCTTGTCTATCTGGTGCAGATCTTGCTGTTGCTTTTATCATAGTTGATGTCTGATTGTCCGTTAGCTTCTTGATACATCGCTGACCGGCCACAATGTTACATACCTTTGAGGGGGGAAAAAAGTTGTCAGATACAATTGTAGCCTTTATAAATGTAGCATTCCTATTACACAGGGAATTATGGAATGACTATGTGCAAAATTACTCTATAAACGTAGCTGATTGTGAAATCTATTTTTCATAATGACATGATCGATATCCATATTTTAAAAAGGAAGAGACTGTCTGGTTTAAAGTTTACCTTGATCTGTAGTAAGATCAAAGCAGTAACAACAAAAGAATTATAATACATATACCAGGGGTGGACAACCCATTAAACGAAAAGAGTTGAAACAATGGCAGAAAAAAAATGCAAAGAACTGCATCAGAAAAAAAATTTCGAGCAATTTTTGTTGAGAAAAAAAAAAAATGGGGTTAAAGGGGGGGGGGGGGAGAAGGACACTGTCCCTTTAAAGAAAAGACAAGCCTTTTTTACCACATCCCGTCGGCTGCTGCCATCTCGGCACCATTTTGAATCACCACACCAGACGGTTCCCTTGCCCCGGTGATCATAGGGAACCAGGGGCTGTTTCTAGGAGTGGAGGAGCAGATTTGCAAGCTGCGGGGGAGGCTTCATGAGCTGCACTTTGGGGGTGGGGGAAGAGGAGGCGCGGAAGAGCCACATGCAGCTTGCAAGCCACGGGTTGGCCACCCCCGACATATACAAATATGCTAAACTGCTTATATTGCACAATAGAAATTTAGCAAAATGAAGCAACTGGACTAAAAGACCAAATTATCAGAATCATTACTTCTAGAGGCAGGTAAGTATGTTTCTGCTCCTGTCCCACTTGTAGACAAGGTAGATGAGGATATTTCAGCTGGAGGTTATACTTCTCTCTGAAGTACTGTGCTACCGTTCTCTCAACTGTTTGGCCATTTTCTAACTGTAAAGGGAAGCTGAAAAAGAGACGCCACAAGAATTTTAGTCAAAATAGCAATGAAAGTTTAATTACCAGAATCTCACAAAATGATTTTAATAAACGCTCTGTCCCTCCAGTATTTGATGTTAGAGCAAACAAGATGCTACATGTTCTCTACTCTGACAAATCCCTGCTTACGTTTGATGACTGGCAGGTCTCCTTGTTACATTACAAACACGGTATTTCCGTCTCATTGTTCCACAGTGAGTCACTTCAACCTTGAGACCTGTATGAAAGCAATAAGAAAAACGAATGTCTTGCAACAAATATAAGTACACACACACACACGCACACACACACACTAGAGTTAAGCACCTCTAGAGCATCAACTAGATAGAACAATTTTTAAAATCACGTTAGAAACTCTCACGTTCTGCATTTAATGCTTTATGTGATTTCTGACTTTCATTTAAGAGGTTTCATTTTTAAATATTTCTAATAGTGGAGAATCATGAGTTTCTTTTAAAAATAAATCCCAACTACAATACATGCAATTCAAAGTAATTTATTATTCCAATTAAAGCTGTTACACTAACTTTAAAATAAGTGAGACTGGCCTCATGGAGACTGAAGTATGGATTCAAAATACACTCTTCTGTTCAGGTTCCTAAAGGGCAGCAATGCACTTTTTGCCCACGGTGACCAATACCAATGCACCCTACAACTGTGGAACCATATCTGTACCACAGGTTAAGTAATATAGTTTAAAAGTTACTTTTCTAAGTGATTTTTCTCACTTGTACCAATTAGCTTTAATCAGTATTTTGACTAACTTGCTTCATTTTCATTGCAACATCAATATTTATAAATCTTAGAGATTTTTCTTGTTTTTTGTGCAGTCTTGAGAAACTGAAGTTAAGAGCTAGACCATGCTCTTTAAGTATGTGCAGAATCTTGACTCTATATGCTTTCTATCTTCTTTTGCATCATGGTTACAGAAATGGATTGCACAATTAGCATGAATTTATCAATGTTATTCCATGGTATCCAGCTAGGAAATTCACAGAACTCTTGTGGTAATCCAAGTTAACTCTACTCTTAATTTCTGATAACAATACAAAGTTGATATTTACATAAAAATAATATTGTGATGGAAA